TATATATATATATATATATATATATATATATATATATATATATATATATATATATATATATATATATATATATATATATATATATATATATATATATATATATATACATATACATATATATACATATTCACCTATTGATTCCAGGGACTCTCAGGTTGCATTCATCAAAGATTAATTAGGCTATAAAAGATGAAACACTTGGTTGTGGAATATGGGTTGCATTGAATATTTGCATGTTGTGCTTGGTCACAATTGATTAGAGTATGCCTTCTCATATGAATTTCTTTTCAGATGCTTATTTTATTTGCTCTCGATGAATGTGCAGCACAACACAACTACCACACAAACCATCTTGCAAAAATTTTGATTCACTTGGCGTGGTGTTTGCAAGACTTGATCTCAACTTCTTCAGGATCGGCTACAGCTTATCGAAAGTCTGTCAATGCAGCATACATATCATCTGTATTTCTTAAGTTCATAATTGAGAATGTAAAAGGTGCAAATTTTGAAGAGCTACATCTCAACCTTGATAAAGATGAGAAGAGGCAGTGTAATTTGCCTACTGGTATTGGTTTACTTTTCAGGAACTATTTACAATTATACTGTCAGTATTTATACGAATTAACTGCTATCATTTAGTTATTTGTGGCCAAGTAATTATTAGTAACTATTAACAAATTTGGAGACTCCACTTTTATGCGAAAAGATTTCAATGACAATTAAATTGCTGTTTGTGTTATATATCTTAGATCATCATATTTTCCTATTGGTAATTCCATTTCTCTTGAAGCTAATATGAGGTTTTACTACTGTTATATTTTATATTAGCATGAGTGGGTCATTTGCTAGAAATGGCTGACCAATTTTTGTGGGCAATTGTGCCTTTGAAACTGAATTTTGTCTTGCATCTTGTAGATCAAAGCATTGAAGTTTTCATCATACGAGGCATGCTCAGTTTTGTTGGTTCCTCAGATGTAAGGTATATTTGTTACACTGCTCAAAATGAAAGTCCTGGTCAGAAATAATTTGCTCCACTTGTTCTAAATAAATATATATCTCCATTGCAAGTCCTCGATCATGCCTCCTCCATCATGAACTGCTGAATTTGATGTTGGTGGCAATGTCGACTCAACTCTGCTCTGGACCATCACCAGGGCCGAAAGATGTTCATCCATTTATTGATGCAGCAATGCTTCAGGTACGAACAGGAAATAGACACCTTTTTTTTTTTCCAAATCAAAGAAAAAACCTATCTATGAATATCTCCAATGATTTCTTTTCTTATCAGGAAAGTGCCGTGGTAGCTTCCACAGTTCAAAAGCTATTGTTGAATTTTATAACTCGTCCGCGCTTTCCTTTTGATGGCTCAACATATCCTTTCTCTCCTGAAGGGAACCAGTCAGGCGTTCTGCAAAGAGTTGGTTCTGTGGCTGGTAATATTGTTCTTTCCATTTTTTTGCATCATTCTAAAGGGCTTCTCTAATATTCATCAAATACATGAGCACCACCACAGATTTGCTCTCAATTTGTCTATTTATACTGTTTGCTAGATGTTGTGGCCAGTTTTGTTGCAGAACAGACACTACTAACAGTACCAATTAATACTTTTATTCTTTATTTTAAAAGGTGAATATAGACTTGGTTCATGGTTCTGTTCTATATACAAAATTAAGGTTTGGGGTTTATATGGAGATTCGACAATTGAGAATAATACTTCAAGTTATTGATGGATATCTTATAGTCATTCTTTTCCATAGTTATGTTTGTATCTTTAAGGAAGAAATTTTCTATTTTTCTTTCCCGTTGGAAGTTCAGATTATATTTAAGTTCAGCTTCAGAGCATTCAATTTAAGACTAAGGAATGATTATAGCTAGTTTTCGATATGAATTTGCTTGAATTACCCAAAGGAATGATTATAGCTAGTTTTAGATATGAAATGAACACTGTGCTGTTAGTTAATCACATTGCTTCTAGTTAATCAAATCTTGTAGACGTCAAGTGGCGTTGTTCGTGTAACAGAGTATACTAGTGTGCTTTGCTTCCATCTTTCCTGCATAATACATGGTGGTGACACCTGTTTGACATGTCCAACATTGAAATCCTTATTATCTTGGACTTCTTCAAAGATTTGAGGTGGTGAAATATTAGCTTGAAGATGAACTGCCTCGTAGATTTGGTTATGATGGCTTCGATGTCAAGTTTTTCGTTGTTGATAGGGTACCATGAAGTTGAACTAATCATTCAGTGGGTTAGTAGGCATTTCATACAGCATATGATAATCACAGACTATGTTGGGTTGCTTTTAGGTCGAAAGAATCACTTTGATCTTTCAAATGATCCTCCAAAGAGTGAAAGGATTGAGACATGCAAATTGATCAATTGTAATCCATAAGAGCTGGATTTTTAAAGCCAATACTCCCTCCACCACAAGAGTATTGTTTTGATATGCTCTCTTGGGGTACAATTAGCAACCTTGAAAGCTCAAAATGGGCCAAAGTAAGTGAGAATGATCTCAAAGCAGGAGGAAAAAATGTGTCTAGTCTTGTAATTTTAAATTGGTTTCAGTTGGCATGTTACAGAATGAAAGTGAAAGCCTAAAGATGTCCAATGGAAGACTATAATGTATTATTCTTCTTTATTTGTTATGGATTTATTTAGGAAAAGCAAAAAGTTTCATCACATTTAGAAGTTCTGCTACTTAAGTATGATGTTTATAACTTTATCGTTTGTTGGTCATATTGAAATTCTACTTTCTTTCTTGTTTTATTGGTTTCTATATTACTGGCTGCAATCTTTATGGAATTTGCATTTTGCCTTCAGAGGACACATTACACCTGATATACGTACTTGTGTGCATAATTTCAGAACTCCATTCAATTGACTGAGAGTTCTATTCTGAATTTTATTTGTTTGAGATTGTGGCTCCCGTTATAAAAAGTGTTTGACGCTTGATTTGCATCACATGTCCTCCTTATTAGAGCTTTAGCTGCTTTTTCAACAATCTTCTCACAGAGCAGTCTAATCATATGCATCTAAATGTCTGCAGCTAATTTCGTGCTACTGCCATATTACACATTCAACTACCTGCTCAGTTCAAGCAGTGCAGGTGCAAGAAGTCCGTTGGCAGAAAAAAGCCTACTTGTTTTACTTGTACTTGTTCATTATCGAAAGTGTCTTGTGGTGAAGTCTTTGACCGACAACAATATGGGGGATGTTGATTCTACTACCTATTTGAGAGAGAGTTCATCTTTCTATGAGAATCCTTACTGCAAGGCACTAGAAAATGCTAGAGACATCCAATGTGAGACATATTTTCACTTCCATACTTCCTGACTGTCAACCGTTAATAAATTCTAAAAAATTGTTTGTGCTTTCAGTTGATCGTGTTGATATTGAGGGAAACGCACATAATGGACCACTTGTTAGATTACCTTTTGCATCCTTGTTTGATTCCCTTGGACTGTATGTATCACTTCAAATTTTCTATTTATTTATATTTGAATGTTATTGGTCTTTGAATACTGCTTTCAGTTTGAGAATATCATCTCATTTACTCTATGGATTGTGGGCTTGTGAATGTTTAGAGGACAACTGTTGTGTTTTCTTAGTCAATAACTCACATGCATGTGTTTTTTTGGTAATTCACCTGATTTTTGAATTATGTAAGATTGTTTAACTGCTCGTAGGCTTTGAATATTGGGAGTCAGAAAAAGACTCATTGATCAACTGTAATTATTCAAGTTTAATGTTTGTTGTTGTTATTTTAGCTGGAATGTAACTAAAATTGATGTATATTTGTTTAACTTACCTGTGATTTTTTTGACTTTGCAATCTTAAATTTTCGAAGATTGTTGTCGACTTTGTGGTAACTTGGCAGACTGTAAGGATCACAAGTTTTGTGAATTGCTTCTGAAACTTTGAACTTCTGATAACCCCTCTGTTCTTTTTGGACTTTTTTGTGCGGATATATGCATGTAGATCTGTAAAATTGTTTCACATCTTTACTATTATAAGTTCTTTCCTTGCAAAATTTCTTACTTAGTAAGATTCATTGCATTCTTTGTATTCTTTTGAAGTCTTTAAATCTTTGAGTGGTTATATATTGTGATTGTAGAAAGCAATTCTCTCGTGCTTTGCAAGAATGCACACATTAAATTCCTGCAGATACCTTGCATTGGTGTGAGCCTTGTGCATCAGGCCACCTTTTTCTTTTCTTCACTGAGCTTTAAACCATTCTGCTTTTGTAACTTCCTTTTTTTCCCTACATAATGTTGCTTTAATATTCTCTTTCTTTTTCAATCAATCTCCTTCATTTCATGTCACAGGTGCTTGTCTGATGAGACATCTGTACTGTTACTTTATTCCTTGGTCCTTGGAAACTCTGATTTTCTTGAGTATGTTTTGGTGCGAACTGATCTGGATACTTTGGTATGATCTCAACTTACTGATAAAATCACTACTCTTAAGTTTGTTGTGCAAGTTGTGCTATGATCTCTTAGTAACAATATTGATCTAAAAAAAGAAGTTACTTTGCATCCTTTTTCAGTTGCTTCTGAAGGAAAATTTTACCTAGATTTCTTGATGGTTATTAGTTTGGTTTTGTGGACAAACATAAATGCACTAGAGTGAGGCAATGCATGGTAATTCATCTTACAGTCACATGAATGCTAAGCACGTTACTGAATATGCATGAGCACATGAACTTTATGTCAGTATGTGCTGATGGCAAGACGTTTAATCACGCTTTTTGCTGGACAGTTGATGCCAATTCTTGAGACACTTTATAATGCTTCAAGGAGGACATCAAATCAAATATATATGCTTCTTATCATCCTTCTCATTCTCAGTCAGGATTCATCTTTCAATGCCAGCATACATAAGTTGGTAAGAACTGTTTACTCTTTTCCCCATCACTTTTCCCTGCATAAATAGCTACTTACACAATTTTCATCTGCAGATGCTTCCAAGTGTTCCATGGTATGAAGAACGTCTTCTCCATCACACTTCTCTTGGTTCTTTGATGGTAATTGTGCTAATTAGGACTGTGAAGTACAACCTCTCCAAGCTTCGGGTAAGGAAAATGTTCTCGAATGGTATTCATGTGTAGAATTGTTTCTTGGTTATTCTTGCCAAACAAATCAAAGATCATTACTTGAAGTGCCCTTACAAGGTTCTTGGTTTTCTAGTTGTATCTTCATGAAAAGTAATAGCACATGCCTTATTAATGTCATCTCTTGTTATTTCAAACATGAATCTTCTAAGTTCATCTGAGTGATGTGCTTGCTGCAATGGATTTTTATGAATCTTAATAAGGTTCTGTAACTGCTTGACATTCTCTCAGCTGCAACCACTATTATTTGAAATCTCTATGGAGTTCGGTCAGGAATCATGCTAAATCCTTCTACTGATAATGAGAGATAAATCTAAGTTATGCAGAACTATAACAATCATCAACTAACATTCTTGGTTAGGTTATGAACATATAATTCCCGCTGTTTCAGCAGCATATTTCTCTTAGGCTTATGCATGTGTTTTGAGGTAGTCTGGTACGAATTCTAGTAAATTATATGTATCTAATCTATGTTTTCTTTAAAAAAAATTCAGTAAGCTCTTTTGTACACATGTCCAATCACAATTGGCTTGGCAGCACAAGTTCACATAGATTATCATGGTAGTCTCTTTGGTTGTTTGTACTTTGGCATATCATAAAATACATGTTGAGAATGCTAGTAGACACCTGCCTTTATGATCTTATCTCTAAGCAATAAAAAATCATTCCGAATGTCTGTATTGATTTTATTTTAATTTTAACAGTTGCAAACTTGCAATTATAGCCACCATAAACTAACTAGTGTCTGTGTTGGAAATACCTGAAGTGAAGATTCTGACACAAGCAACCTTGAAATTTTGACAGGATATCTATCTTCATACTAATTGTCTGGCAATTCTAGCAAATATGGCTCCTCATGTTCACAGGCTAAGTGCCTATGCTTCACAGCGGCTGGTTAGCCTTTTTGATATGCTCTCTCGCAAGTATGCCACTTCATTATATCTTTTTTTAAAATGTTAAAGTACCCGAAGTTAATAATTATCTTGTATGGCTCTTTTTTTTAAGAACAATAGTTCCTATTACAAAGGAAAGCATTTAGCATGAAATCTGACATGAGACATGGACACAACACAATGCAGACATATTGACAAGATAAATATTACAAATGTAGGATACAATAGATAGGCACGATAACTAATGCATGTATATTTCCTATATGTTATTTAATCTATTTATGATCATCATGTGAAATCGATTAAATACATTACAACTATATATGTATTATGTACTAAGCAAGATTCAAAAGAACAACTTCAAAATGTATACAATTCATTAAGTCAATAATCAAATCAACGTACATATGGTATAATATTTGACATAGTTTGAAGCCTTAGAAAGATGTAAGTATTCAATGCATATGAAGTTACAAGGATACTGAAGCACCCAGTATATAGGGAGTGTTGGTCCAACACGTACATGACCAAGTCGCAAGCATTTGAAAAGTCTGTTCCTTCATATATTATGTGCTTCTTCAATGTCATATGAGTACCCAACACATGTTGAGGAGAATACAACAAGTGTCAACGTTTAACATGTGCTGGCATGGACGCATCAAGCATTTTGAAGCGCCATTTCTTCATAGCTTATGTACTTCATCATTCTGTTTCCAGGTACACTAAATTAGCCGAGTTGAAAACTGACAAAGTTATAAAAGTATCTGCTGACCAAATGGAAGGAGTCAGCTTAACAGAGGATATGGTAGTTTTCGATCTTTTACACCTATCGGCACAACCTTCTTTACCTATCAGCTTAACATTGATATTTCTTGCAGTCACCAGAGATTCACATATATACTGATTTCCTCAGAATAGTACTGGAAATCCTTAATGCTATTCTTACATATGCCTTGCCTAGGAATCCTGAGGTACCAAGTGAACTAACTCTTTTTCTCTCTTTTCCTCTCTTTTTTAAACTTCTGGATAAATTAATTAGAATTCTATGTGATAAATTACTAACTCTTCTGCTTTTAAAATAGGTTGTATATGCAATTTTGCATCGGCAAGAGCTTTTTCAACCATTCAAGAATCATCCACGGTTTAATGAGCTCCTTGAAAATATATATACAGTATGAAATGTATTTTTGTCAGTCTTGTTTATGAATTTCTTTTCTTGCAGTTGTTATTGATAATGTGGAATGTGAAGAAAATTAGCAGTCATCCTTTTCATGCAGGTATTGGATTTTTTCAACAGCCGTATGGATATGCAGCATATGGATGGTGAATGGTCTGTGGACAAAGTTCTTCAAGTAATTATCATAAATTCTCGTTCATGGCATGGTGATGGGATGAAGGTGAAGTTCAAATATGATTTTGCAAAGAATATATATTTTTTCAGACTTTTAAATGAAAAATCTTTGAATAAGTACTCTTAAATTAATTTGATTATTATGCTTACTGAATAACATGGTTTGGCAGATGTTTACACAGTTGAAGTTCACTTATGAACAGGAGAGTCATCCTGAAGAATTCTTTATTCCATATGTGTGGCGGCTAGTTCTAGCTCAAGGGTATCTGCATTTTGTGTCTTTTGCCTTTTCTTTTTTTGTTGCTTTTTGGTCTCAATGCTAGGTTGGACATTAGCCTTCATTATTGTTTCTCTCATTAATTTATGAAACTCAGAGGAACACTAAAGGTACCGTCAGTCCGTCACAGTTCCTTTCTTAACTGAATATTTAGTGAATTAGTTTCCACAGCAGTGCTTCAATAGGCTTGACATTTTTCTGATGAGTATGGGTTTTAGACCTGTGAGTTATAATGTTATACATGATATCTGCAAATACTGGAATAAGTTTATGAAAGATGAAGCTGCCTAATTTTAGCAACACGGAATGGCAGTAAAAAAAGTGTTAGTACTGGCTCTAAAGAACAATAGGGAAGTATTGTGATGCTACAACCTGGTTGTCATGTTTATTTTGCCTTAAGTATGTAATGCATCACGTCTTAAATTGTACCTTGCAGAATAAATAGACATCAATCCTATCCTTTATTTTCTGTTGGGAGTAAGAGATGGCAAGATAAAAGAAAATTAAATTTGCTTATAGTATCCTACAACATGTCTGTAATTATCTCTTCTGACAAGTTTCTCGGGGCTCATTAATCTTCCGTGTATGACTAGTCTTATAACTGAATATGGTCTTGTAGATGGTGAAAACATAACAATACCAATCAATCATGTATTCCAAAAAGGTGTCTTCATTCTTTCATATCAAGATCTTGCCATCCTTGTTCTGGAGTGGTTACTTTTTTATTTTTCACCGTTTCAAAGAGGCTATTTTTCTTGTTAGATTTAACGCGGTTCACCAGGACCATTTAATAAACAACTAACCTTTTCAATATGTACAGTCAAAGATGGATTAGTAATGATACTTGGCATCAGGTAGACTATGAAGTAAATCAAGCTTTTGACTTTGCCACTTTTCTGTCCTTGTTTGCCTTTTTGTTATTTGATGCTTTCTCGATACATAAAACAGTGTGATGTCATGCTGTTCTCTCACTTATGGACTTCAACGGATATGACATTTATTTTTTTTATTTGAATGGTTCTTTAAAACAAGTTTTAGTGACTTGGTGAAACTTTCCTACAGCTGTGTTCTAATATGCCCATAATCTGACATTCTTTGCTGTTTACTTGGACATTTGCTAATTAACTGTATCATTATAAATCATTAATGTAACAATTATCAATTTGTTATATTTTTTTATAATTTAGTGGTCAAATTTGCAATGAGTTTGTAAGTTTCGATGGGATGCCCTTCTGTCCAAACCTTTATTTTCTTTTCTTTCTTCATATAATTACTTTACGTTAAAAAGATTCATTTCAACATCATTTATCTATTTTGGAAGTACGCATATGTTTGCCTCTTCTTGCTTCTTAGGGCTGGTTTTATGTTGATTTTCTATATGATCTCAAATGATTTGATGACTTATCAGTTCTCTTTTGTTCTCTGTGAAACAGTTTCAATTTCAGTCCTCATGCCATTAATTTGCTTCCTGTGGAATTATCTGGAGATGTAAGTATTCCTTGAAGTACTAAATTTTGAGGACTTATAGAACTTGTAATTAGACTCAAATTCAATGGGCATTCTTTAAAGCTGCATGTTGTAAATTGGGGCTACAATGTGGTCCATCGTTTCCAAACATATTTTTTCCACCCACATGGTTATTAAATAATTTGCATTTCAAGAATTCTGCCCAAGGCCAAGCTAGCACTAAACAGGGCCTAAATCAGGATGGGCTTTTTGACACCCTTTTCCTTTGGCAATTGGTATTTATTAGTAAATCTCAAGGTTGAGAACAAAAAAAAAAGTTAATTAAATGTACATGAGGTTCAAAAGAGCATGTCAGCAACAAGGTCAGATTGTGTTCTGGTTCAGGTTGAATGCTGAAACTGATCGCTACAGGTTGCTGATAGAAAAATTCCTTCCATATTTTAGTGGCAAAAGGGGGGTCTGGTGAGTCTTGGTGGGAGGAATCAGGGAAGGGCAGAAGTTTCTGGTTTTTTTACCCATAGTCATTTCTAGGATGCCCTCCGTTTGGGAAATTAAAAACCAACACATACTTTGATAAACCAAGTAATTTGATGCATTTTTCGTGTGAAAATTCCATTTATTTTCCCAATATTCTTTGAATCAATATCAATCAGCATCCCAGAATTTATAGAACATATTCTGTAAATGATATGCTTATTGGTGCTCGTTCTGACTGAATGTTCTTTTACAGGATGCTTTATCCGGCGAACAAGGCGAACAAAGCGTGTAAAATGAATTTTCATCGTACTTGAGCAGACGGAGAAACATGTTTGGCCCTACCTTGATGTTGACTCTTCATTCCCATGTCGCGACAGAATGCTCTCGAGTGTATTGTACATAAGAGACTGGATAGTATTCTTGTCATTCTTTGTGTCAATATTACATAAGATCATCAGCAGTATCAAATAACGAGAATTGATGTTCTTATCAGCGCAAATATAGGAAGCCAAAACCTCATGTCCTTGGTTGAGTTGTTTTCAGGTTGCTTCCTGTATTATTTTGTAAAAGATCATACAAAATTTTTTTCCATTCTTGTAGAAGCGGTGTGTTGCTGATTCCTTCAATTCTGGATATGGTTTGAGGAAGAAGATGAGCAATTCATTTGTCTCATTCGCCTTTCATCAAATTCTCTAAAA